ATCAGCTGGTGCTCAGCCTGGCCCTCATCTGCTGAGAGGACATAACCTTAGATTAGCTTAGATATTCATCCAGGCAGCAATTCAGTATGGGTCAAAGGAAAGCTTCATTGTCTGTACAGGAAATGGCCTTAGAAGCATTTAGCTTAGCTTAGAAGCATTTAGCTTAGCTTAGTTTAGAAGCATTTTTATCACAAAGTGTGTATGGATGTTTGAGAAATCCCTCATTAACACACATTCTTAAACTCCTTCCTCTTTTCTCTTAAACATCTCTTCCCCACCTCAAATTGGAAAGAGCTTTTTAGCTGGTGAATGCCCTCCACCATCTGAAGCAATGTTGCTAGACAATGTTAGTGGACTGATAAGTAAGCTGTTATTAGTACTGTGCTGATAGCAGGCTCTAGCTATGCTTTTTTGGGACTGTTGATAACTTAACTTTGGATATGAGCAGTGAGTGAGTGAAGTCCTTTACGTTTTCTTTTTAATCCCAAGGGCACTATTTTCTTATCTTTTCTGGTGTTATTCAATCTGTAATTCTAATTACAACTTCCCTTCCTTCCTCCCTCCCTCCCTCCTGCCCTTCCTCTCTTCCATCCATCTCATCTGAGATATTGTAGTAGAACTCCCAGAATGTATCAGGTACTGTAATGATTTAGAGTTTATGGGTGAATGAAGCCTATAGAAACATGAGCAAATCACAGTGACACATGCCATTATCAAGTATAGGAGACCCAAAGTAGCCCTACTTGGACCCCCATTGTATCTTAGTGTTCTTACTGCTATACTTTTACTTATAATAGAACAGTTCCCAGCAGGTAAGTAATTTCCCTGTATTTTCCACCAATGACTTCCCACATGGCCAAATTTAACTTTTTCTTGAGGATGACTTTCCAGCCTCAAGAAAATTCTTGAATTGTAACCCGTATTTAATCATAATGTACTCTTGAGGTGACTTGCCCTGCTATCTTTTTTAGAATTTAAATTTTGCACCATTATTTATCATTTTGAGGTTTTGCATTCTGTCTTCCCAGTTAGACTGCAAGTTCCTTAAGGGCAAAGGCTGTCCTATACTTCTCAGAATTGTGTCATGGAAGAAGCACTGTTCTAGACTTCAGGAGTCTTGAGTTCCAGTCTCGATTCTACAACTAACTGGCTTGTGGCTATGAGCCAGCAATTTAGTTTCTTGAGTTTTAAATATTCTAATATAAAACTGTAGTGTTCAGGCTTGGTAATTTTAACAATCTCTTTAAGTTCTAAATTCCAGAGAGAATACTACACAGCACTCAGCTCAGTGCCTGAAAAATTTTTGAAATATTGCTTATTGTCAAGAGCACTCAAATGTGGTTGACTTTGGATAAACCATCATTTTTCTAGAGGAACCCTAAAATATTGGGGATTTTCGTACCAATGTTTTTATTGAAAAGGACCAATGATTCTCCTTCCAATGATGAACATAATGATGGGGCAAATTAGTCCCTTTCCTAATTAGCTGTGTAAATAATTTGACCCTGGACAAATTATTTAGTCTTTGATCCTCAGCTTCTTCATATGTATTTGCAAAATTATGACTAATTCTTGTCTCATAGAGTTATTTTATGAAGTAAAGGCAAATCTTAGGTGCTACCTTGAACTGAAGGAGAGATGAAAGTTAGATATATAAATTATTTGCATTTTAAATTCCTTATCTTTTAACTTAAAGCATGGTATAATTTACCCAAGAGTCTTAAGGAAACTATGGTAAAAGTTTTAGAGTAAATTCTGAATTTTCCAGATGAGATTATTTCAAGATCCTGGAGCTTCATGAAGGCAAATGGCTGTCTCGACTTTCATTGGGTGGGCCTGTCACTCTTCAGGGGCATCGTTTCTTTGAAGGGTAGGTTGACAAATGGGAAGGCAGTGCAGCCTACTGAGCCAGTATTCTTCCTTAGCAGACAGCTTTTATGGTATGTTGATGGACAAAAACACTGGAAATGATGGCTGTATGAGGATCGAAATATCTGGGAATGTATTTGTGCTTTCTTCTCCTAACAGCACAATTAGTGGATTGGAATCTGGTTTCATTGCCTAGAATCCTCCTGAGATCTTTCACTTTCTACCCCTTCATGGCCCTGTTCTTAAGCAATTGTAATCAGAAAGGCCAATTTACTTGAAATAAATATGTAGCTTGTTTCAAAACTTAATGTGATTGGTTATTGGATTGTCAGTCTCTTCCATTTGTGCGGCTGCAGTTTTCACTGTTAAGGGTCCACTGTTAAAATAGTTTTTGTCCATTTATATTAGAAGGCAAGGTTCCTAGTTAATAGCCTTGAGGGAGAATGTCTGGCACTTACTGAATTACCCAGTAGAACCATTCTGGGTACATGGTGTCCTGGAATTATCAAACTGCCTTCTTGGGAAACAGCCAACTGTCCCCCCAAATAACAGAGGAGCTGGATTCCAGGGCTAGTAGTAGTAAATGTTTAAAGAATGAAACACATTATATTTAAGGGGAAAGCTATGCTTTGGGCTTTTTCCCTGGTAACTTTAGAAGTAATGACCAAATTAAAGCAACAATTTTACAAACAAACAAGTCTACCTCTGGAGATGTCATTTTAAGCACAGTATATTGAAGAGAACATGTAGACATTAGCCAAACATGATTGTTCCTTATAGCAGGCTTGTTTCTTCTATTTAATAGCAGTAGCTAACACTTAGCCCTGAAAACTGGAATTTGTTTTATTGAGGAATGTTTGGAACTAAACTTTTAGTTCCAATAAGCAGTATTTTCTTAAATTGCCAGCAGGTGATTTTCAAAAGGCTCAGGACTCAATTAAAATAAAATAATGTGCAAAACTAAAAAAATTCATGCTATTATATTAAAGTCCATTCTGACCTTCCTTCTATCTGTGATTGCTCTTTTATTGCAGCTTCTCTGTGATTATTTCCCTTTCACATCTTCTACGTGGCTTTACTTCTGACCTTTCTTTCTTACATCAAATCATTGAATGTCCTTTGGTACCATTAACATTTCAGGTGGCAGAGGAAGACAAATATAAATCGATCACTGGATCTGCCTTCAAGATTTTCCCTCCTACCTCTGTCTGGGCTATGAAATGAAACTTTAGCCCATAAGCCCAGAATGACACTTGGATAACTGGACCATCAAGAATGTGATATACTTGGTCTCTTTTATGAGTTTTCTTTTGGGATAACTTTTATAATATTATAGAAGGACTCTGAATATACTTGATACCATTCTCAGACTTCAACAAGAGATGAGACAACATTGGTAATCATGGGTCATTCTAACATAATCAACTAGTCAGAGGGCCTTTTACTATGCCTTCTGTACTACAAGGCTGGGCTCTATTCATATAATGCTGGACAATTGTTGGAAGGAGAGCATCCAAAGCTAACTGAGTTTAGAGACAGGTCTTACTGATGTGGGAATGGTACTTAAGTCCTTATAGCGACTCTGAAAAGAGTCTTAGGGTTTGCCAGTTTTAGTCAAGTTAATTTTTTAACCTAAGAGTATAGTTTTCTATTTTTATCAGTAGTAAGAAAGATTGTCTTATGGAAGCAATTTCATGGTTGTTTTTCATCTCAACACTAGAGCTAAAAACACAGACTAACAAACTCTGCTCTTTAGTAACCTATCATAAATCTACCATCCACAAATTAATTTCTTCTTAGCCTTCTGACTAAACTTATGGTGTTACCAATGTAGTAGTATTTTGAAACCACTATTTTTGTGACCTGTGGCATTTCTTAGGATAATAAACTTGATATTCTTATTAATTACAGAGACAATTTTTTCTGTTACTCTTAAATTTGACTTTTTAAAATGTTGAGGATAAACCCTGTATTTTCGCTAGCCAAACACATTATGCATTTAGACTCTTTTCTATGTTCTTTTAAAAAGTCTTTGTCTTTCCAAACTGAAGAATATTATTTCTTACTCTGTTCTCATAAAGAACTTCCTTGTCCAATTTAATAGCTCTTCTCTGGTTGTCTCCATGCCAGTTCTCAGTTTTCTTGAGCTATAATGACCAAATGATTCTCATGTCTCCAGGTGTGGGTAAACCATGTTTCCATAGATGGGATGGATTAAGTTTTATGCTGTTTCCAATACTCTTTCTGATGATGCTCAGGATACTGCAGCCTTCTCAGCCACAAGAGCACATTGTGCTGATTTCTTAAAGTCTGCAGTATGACTCTTTTCTGAGTCATAATTGTTCAGATTATTTTGAGAGGAAGGTACACTTCTGTTCTTTGTTTACCTAGCTTCTGTTGCTACTGAAACACTTGGTAATTGCCAGGGATCTTTGAAATACTGCAGAAAAACCTCAACCTATTGATCCCAGACTTATTTTTTCTTGTACAATGTTCTTATTTTAATTAAATCATTTTTCCATTACTGGCATTTGGTTTTTTAAAGCAATGAGGTTTCACAGTGGGAAACGCTTTATAGATAGCCTGAAAGTCAAAACTTTTTCAAAGTTAGTGTATTAAATACACTTTTACCCCATTAGTATTTTTCTCTCCAAAATAGTATATGTATAATGTCTCCACTAATGTCTCCAAAATAGTATATGTATAATGTCTCCACTAAATATATAAACATTGTGTGTTTAATGTTCTAGTGAGGAGGACAGATATGGGAGACAGAAAAATGGGATTTCACATAGATGAAATCTATCAGGGCAATATTAAATTCTCTCTTCCTGAAAGCCTCAGCATCACCATTCACAAGTTAAAGAACATAAATCTTTATAGATATTGTGAAATTAATAGCATGATGGCTATGGGGTATTTGGAGATCTTTGAGAGGAAACTATATAGATTTAATTGATAGTATCAAAGGCATGAGTCAAAATGAATTCACATGCTAGTTAACAGAATGGCTCCCTGGATTCAAACTTAAGTTAGAATCTGACTCCACCACATATTGCTGCAGTAACCTTGGGTGAATATGTTAAAGATGTAAAGTCTGTTACCCTATTTGTTATGTCACAGGTTGTTGTGAAGATTATAAAAGAGAATATGTGTAAAACACTTAGCCTTATATCTGGCATGTAATAAATATTAAATATACTAGCTGCAATAATGATAATTATTGCTATGGCTACTATTATTGATATGGGACCTCAGAGTTTTTAAAACTGATAAGAACAGATACTATGCTTGATCTTAGCCCAAAGGCCAAGAAGTGATAGGGACCTCACAGTTTTTAAGTAGAACTAATTATTGAAATTTATTGATTATGATAGAAGATAGTTGAATTAAAGTTTGAATGCTAATAAATTGACCTGAGGAAAAATATTTTTAAATTACTATTTTATATATCAAAGTAAAATTATAATTCAATTGATGGGGGAAAGACAAACATATAAAACTACCATATAATAAGGACTGTCCTAGAGGTATGAACAGATGGCAGAGGTACCCAGTGATTACTGTGAATATCTATCTATCTTGGGACTTTTTTTAGGAGGAATAATGCCCATGTTTCCTCTTCATGCTTGATTCCAAAGTTGAATCCTTAACTCTGGCCTGGCCAATCAGCCCTGCATCTTGTTCACTACAGTAATTATTTACAGTAATTGTTTCAGAGAAGACCACAAGCCTGTGAAAATCAGGTTTAAGACTTAGTTTAAATTTCTAGGAGACATTCTTTTTTTTCTTTAAAGATTTTATTTATTTATTTTTAGAGAGGGGAAGGGAGGGAGAAAGAGAGGGAGAGAAACATCAGTGTGTGGTTGCATCTCACGCATGCCCTACTGGGGACCTAGCTTGCAACCCAGGCATGTGCCCTACACTGGGAATCGAACCGGTGATCCTCTGGTTTGCAGGCCTGTGCTCAGTCCACTGAGCCACACCAGCTAGGGCTCCAGGAGACATTCCTTTTATACTTTCCTGGACTTGGAAATGCGAGAATGGAAGCCTGGATTATTGGCCTCCATATTGCCAGGATGAGGAAAGGTTCTTCTTGTCAATAGAAATAACACAGAGGATGACAGACAAATGGAAAGAGTAGGTCCTCATGACCATGAAATTTCCAGGTAATGGTGCCTTTATACTTAAGCTGGCATGAGTTGGTTTTTTTTTTTATTGCTTGCAATTAAGGAAATCTTGGCATATGTAATAATTAATTTTATTTGTACAAATAAGAAAGTTTCTATAAATGTTGATTCTAATGTCACAGGATGGGGTGCAATAGAGGAAATTCAGAAGGCAGAGGGAGTAGCAGGAATAAGGCACTGGTGTGCAAAAAGTCATGTTTGGAGAATATAATATCGTCATGGTCAAAGCCTATAACTCTGATGGTAAAGCTTGGACCAGCCAATTTTCTTATGTCTCAGGGTACCATTAGTTAAAAGAGAATGAGCTTGAGAGAAAATTTAAATCCAGGATATGCCAATTATTAAGTGGATGACCTTAGCCACCTAACCTATTCGAAACTCACTTTCCCATTCTTTGCTATAAGAATAAAAAATACCTATTTTTTATAGTTTTTAAAAGATTAAATAAATGAAATATGAAGCACTCAAATAGTTTTTGCCTGCCCCGAGGGTAGGTGCTCCATAAACATATGATCTACACTGACTTCCAGTCCTTGCCACTGGAGGGATGACGTGTCCTGATTAACTTAATGTTAAGTGGAAAACTCTTCGTGTTTTGACTAGGAACCTTTTTTGCTAGGAACCTTTATAGGGTATGCTGGTCAACGTTTTTGTCTCAAAATTGAATACGCCAAACACAAATATTTCTCTGATGAGTAAGGATCACTTGCTGTGCCCAGCATGATTCCTTTGAGCAGCAGATGATAACCCTTATAGTGTTGTAGATGTGGATTGTTGGGCAAAAAATCTCCAATAACTCCTGTATTCCAAAACCATGAAATATTTCCAAACTAAAATTTCAATAGGAGCTTTTATCCTCCTGTTCTGCCTGCCTCTGATGAAACAAATAATAAAATAGAATTCTGGTAGAGGGCCCAGAACTAGTTGGGTACTAGTTAGTCCATGTTTTACTGTTATTAGAGCATTTTCTTTTTATCTAAGACTAGGAACAGCCAGGAAATGTTTCATGTCAGTAAAATACTAACCTTTGAAAGTCAAGAATTTCCCCCAAATCTTTGCTGGGGAAGATTTGCAACCACCACCCAGTTGTGAACTCTGATATTTTCTGAGCACATAGCATGTGCCAGACCATGTTCTGGACACTGACAATGTCTGTCAGAAATGGGTGCATGGTTCATTGGATGAAAATGGGGGAAGTGCATCAGATATCATAGTATTTATTGTACTATAGCATAGGAGAAAATTTTAAAAATGATTTAGATCAGTGATTTAAAAAATCTCTGTGATAATTGTCCAGAATAAAGAAATGCATTTTTATAGATATGTACATACATTTTATATAGATGCATACATACATTTCATGTAGGTGCATACATACATATGTATAACTGAAAAAAGTTTCTTGAGTTAGTGTTCATCTTACTCCTTGAATACAGTCTGATGTTTTCTATTCTGTTCTACATTGTACTATTTTATTTTTTTATTTGCAATGCTGCAAATACTGGTCAGCAACTCTTTAAATTTATTTCAAACCCATGAGTGAGTGATGATCAGATATAGACAAAATAAGAATCATCACTCAGGTGAATCATATAAAGAAGAACTGATCTTTTTCTTGATCAAGTTTTATTATATTCATCTAGAAAGGACCTTGGTTGAAGGAGAAATTGACCTAACAGATATAGATCACCTCGAGCTGACTAAGGGGAATATCTGGACTTACATTTGGCAAGCTGCATGTTAAGTGCAAGCAGGAGTATATTAACATAGCTGGATTAGTTAGTAATCCACAGGAACCAGGGTTTCTAATGTAACCTCTGCCCACTCTACCACTAATTAGGGGAATGTGGGCATTAAAGTCATAACAGAGATCATCAAAATTGAACATAGCACTAATCAAAACAGGTAAAAAGAGAATTAAATTATGTAATTTTTGTGAAAATGTTGGACACTATCTAACAATAAAGAGAAATAATCCATTAGGTTTTAGTGCTAACCTTTGAAAGTTGGTGCTTTGGTTGCAGTATGTTAACAATTCAGGAATTTTATGTTTAGCTAGATTATCAAATGTCCACAGGTGGATTCTGCTTTTCTTCTAATATTTTTCTTCTTAGCCTCTTCTCTTGGCAGCTATTATTATTTCCAAAGTGCAAAAATTAATTAAAAAACACAATAAGCAAGAGAAATACCTTCATTAAGAGAAAAATAAGAATTAATCACAAGGGCTCATGTTTCTCTGGGCAGTCTCCTTTGTTGTTGCTTTGAAGCACTGGCCTTGAAGGGAAAGCATGTTGTACTTTTTAAATCCCCCCCCTTTTCCCCCCCCCTTTGGTTTTTTTTTTTTTTTTTTTTTTTTGGGATCTTGTTTCTTGCAAGAAAAGCCAAGCAAATTACCAAGCTGTATTGCAATTCTAATAGTGAGGATGCTAACTACCCTGCTATTCAAAAGGGTTCTTTGTGACACTTGGCTTCAGGTCTATTAGAACTGACTGCCTCAGCTAATAATGGGATAATGAACTAGCAGTTGAAAAATTGTAGCCCACAAAGTATTTACTTGGTTAACATTTTCCTGGTTTTTAACAGCCAAATATCATTAGGATATACAAATCTCTCAATGCAACATTTTTCAGGTGACTGTGGGAAAAATTATGTTTACATCCCCCAAAGCTCAACACAACATTAACAATATACTGAACAGGAATAGTTTTGAATTATACTCCAGATGCAATTGGTAGAACCCCAGAAGCACAAGTAGGCATTGGGAAAGTGCACCAAATGTCAAAAAATAAATAACAAAAACTTTGGAGGTGCTGAACTAGGAGAGGCCATGCTGCTCCATTCACTGTGATTTGTTAACAACCTCATTAATTGTTTCGAGATTGCAAAGACATATTTTAAGCATTTACATCCTAACATGGTAGTTTATTATTTACATATAGGTATTTTACTACATTTTACTATGCTGGGGGTTTTGGGTCGACATTAACATACATTTTGACCATTTAATTATTTGTTTTTTAAAAAATAGGTAAGTGATGTTAAATAGGATATGCCTGTAATTATGATAATTAAAACTGATATTTGAGTTTTGTGATAAAATGTTAATATGCCTAGAGTTCTCATTTCTGCTGAGTCTATGACCTTTGAATTTCTTTGAAATTTATCCACTTGTTTGTGTAAAAATGTTTAAGCTTTCATAGATACAGAGAACATTTTGATGGTTGCCAGATGGAGGGTGGTTGGGGAGATGGGTGAAAAAGGTGAAGGGATTGAGAAGCACAAATCGGTGGTCAGGAAATGTAAAGTACAGCACAGGGAATATAGTCATTAAGATTTTAATAACTATGTATGGTGCCAGGTGGGTACCAGATTTATCAGGGTAATCACTTTGTAAGTTATATAAATGTCTAATCACTGGGTTGTACACTTGAGACTAATATAATAATGTTCATCAGCTATAATTGAAAAATAAAAAATTATTTAAAAAATTAAAAAATGGTTATGCTCTGTCTCTAATATCCTTTGTTGAAGACGCCATTTATATATCATGAATTTGTGCCATTTCTTGGGCATATGTTCAGTTATTACACATTTTCTTAGCATTGTTAACATTTTGGACTGGATAATTTTTTGTTGTGCATTATTTGATATTTAGCAGCTTCCATGGACTCTACCCACTGGATGCCAATAGCATCCCTCCATTTTGATAATAAAAAAGGTCTCCAGACATTGCCAAACGGCACCTGAGGCTGCAGTTGCAAAACCACTGAATTGTTGCATTAGTTATGGTCCTAACAAGAAGCAGATGGTATACTTAAATGGCGTCAATGAAAGAGAGTGTAATGAGGAAACTATCGAGGTATGGATAAGCAAACGGGAATTCCATAAGGGGTGATGGAGTACTTCAGGGCTGGTAAGAGTGTAGAAGATGATCATATTTGGGCCCGAAGGCCAAGGGACGAGAGTAGTTCTAGAACCCAGAGAGTCCGGGAAAGGACTGCCTGACAGGAGCTGTGCCTGCCGTGAAGGGGCAGGTTCATTGACCACTCAGTCTGGCACGGATGTAGCTGGGAGAATAAATGCCCCAACCCACATCTCCAGTGGTGTCTTCTATTTCTTGAACTTAACCAG